AAAATTTTAAGAAAATTGGGTTTTGTTGAAAAATTTTTTGGGAAAATTTGGTACAAAGGATCTACAGATTAAGTGCGTTTTTTTTTATAAGAAATTTTAATATCATCTTTATCAATATTGTTATTATCAAGACATTTACGAATATGGTTAATAAGACTATAATGAAATATATAAAATTCATTTGAACCAAATGTAAACTATTTTGCAAGCATCGACATAGAATTTTCAACCTTAATAATAACCATTGCTTTTAGTTCTAAATGCAGATCAGAACTTTTATTCAGTAAAACAAAATTTGTTGAAAAATCCAAATTATTATTCGATAAAATAGAGTCTGCTGAAAAATCAGAATCTTCATTGACACTAATGTAGTCAGTAGTGGTTAGAGAAGGATTTTTATCTTTAAAACCTTTCTTGGCACGTTCATAGCGCGAATGACAACAATTGCTAAAACTAAGTTTAAATTGATTATTAAAATTACAGCTATAGCCAAAAAGACGATTGCAGTTTTTAAGGAACAGTTTTTAATTTAAATTTGTTTTTTTGGGATCATAATTTCGACTATAAAGTTGACTGATTTTGTTTTTAGTACGAAAAGGTTTTTGTGTAATATCACATTCACATAGATCTTTGGTTAGATCTGTAAAGCAAAAAAGGCACTTTTGACATGAAAAACATGTTCCAATTCTGTAGCAAGGTAACATTTTAATTACATATATAAGCGATTAGACCAACAGTTTAAATACCTTTAAGATTAATTGTCTAAAATATTGAAGATACGTTTGTATATATATATGTATGAACATACATACAAATATAATACTAATAAAAGTTAAAAGAAAGTTTAACATATTAACATCCTTATTTTTATAAACTGTACATACAAAGTTATTGATAATAATATATATATTATTATATAGTATTTATTATTGTTCAATCTCTAAAATTGAAGATTGGATACTCTTATATAAGTATATCATTAGATTTTTATTACCAGACCCCTAAATATTTTATACCTTTTTATGTTGAAATTTCATTTTATTTAATATGTAAATTTTTCAACCAGGAGTTGAATCTCAATAATAGGTTTTTCTTAGCTATCTCACTATAATTATATGATAGGAATTTATTACTATTCATAATTTTTATCCTTTAACAGTGCATGTATATAGTGCAAAGTGTCTCATATATGCCATTGCTATTCTAAAGAATAAATAGTATTTATTTACTGTTATTCCTCGATAGATCAAAAATGACAATTCAAATAATTAGTATTGGCACAGTAAATGACCAGCAAAATATTATAGCGTCTTAAACCCTGATCCGGGTCTTTTGAAAGGACTTTTCTATAAATAGTAAGGGATATTATATATATAGAGAGAACACTTTGTTAGTACTATATATATTGAAATCGAATAGTTTTATGGAGTATGTATTGTATGGTAATTGTGTACGATTAACAATTAATTAAAAATTTGACAATTATATGTACATGCATATCTAATTAGAAATTGACCATTAATCGATGTACCTAAGTAATCCAGTATACAAGTATATGTGGTATACAGGTATACACAAAAAAATTTTTTGTATTCCCGATTTCAACTATTTCGAAAATAGTAATAATCTAAATTAGTTATGATCAGTAATTAGCTTTATCATGTATGCTATCTCTTTAGTAAACAAAACAGATCATCTGATTTGTTTACATGATCTTTTCTCAAAATAGATAGGTTGTATAAATATTGATCTTTTTACAGAGAGTAGTCAAATCCTTACTTTTTATAAAATAAATTTTGCAAAAAGATTATGACATAAATGTAGAGAGCTATTCAAAGTTTTCAAGTAATAGAAAAGATCAAAGGTTGACAGATATAAAAACCCTAACTAGAGTATAAGGATAGTATTATTGCTTAACCCAGTCTAAGCAGTTTTAGTAAAACTTATAGTTGGTCTTTGCTTCAGCTATAAGTAAATGAAAAAATACTAAGACCTACTAAAGTCAGCAGCTTTGCTTCTGTAAGCTACTTACAAACTAGAGGTATTAGTATAATACTAATATACTTAATCTAGTTATAAGCTTTATTTCTCATGCTATATAATAGTATTTCTTGCTAGGTATTGTTTTTAAATTTTTGTTGTTGCTCTATATTAGGTTTTAGTAATTAGCAGAAAGAGTTGAATAAATTATTAATATATTAAAATAATTATAAAATAATTATAGAAATTATATATAAAACAAATTCATTAAGATATGAGCTATATATAGTTATTAGTTAATATAAAAGCACTAGATTTGTATTTATATATTTGTTATTAAGAGGTCTAAAAAAAGTAATAGTATACTGTATATACAGATATTTTAATCTTATTTTTTGAATTATTATTTAATTTGGAATTAAATAATATCTGTTTTCTTTTAATAGATCAAGATTTTATTTTGATATTAGCTGCAAAAAGTGTTTAGTCAAATACTAAAATTTAATTTTGTTTTTAGCATATTAAGAAAGTATTTGAAAAATATTTTCTAATAATATATATCAAAAACAATTGATTATAATTCTAATTTAGTATATCAAGTATTTGAGTTTATTGATATAAAATTTTATCTTTTAACTAAAGAATTTAATTTTAGCAAAAAAACTTTTTTAATTTTGTTCTAAGAAGTTATAGTATATTCTAAAATTAATTTTTTTTTTTAATATTAAGGTGAGGTTTTGCCTTTATCTTTATTGAAATTTGTATAAGATTCTACAAGAAGTTTTTCAAACTATACAAATTTGTTTACAAGAATTAAGATTCAAATTGTAAATAGTGAACTATCTAATTTATCTGCAACTTAAACCTACTAGAGCAGTTAAAAACTTATCTAGATTTAAATATTTATAATAAAATTAGATAGATATACTATATTTAGCCTACAAAGTGAACCAGATATCGATTTTGTATCCTACTAGTCCAAGAGGAGGGCATAAATTATTATTATTATATAGTTGGTCAAGTTAGCTATATAAACATATATATGTATAGTCTATTTTGAAGTAACTTGAATATAGTAGTCATCAGGAATGAGTAGTTTTTTGAAGTTAATTAGAGATATTATTTGTAGTTTTCTATTCAGCTAATTTAGCATAATAAGGCATTCAAATTTGTTTATAAATATTGTTAGAGAGTTTAAAAAAGAATTGAGTAATAAGTTTTGAAGCTGTTTTGTATATATTAGTATATATAACAAGTAGTTCGATGAAGGAGAAAGGTATAAATTCTTGAAGAGTAGTTTTGATTGTAAGAGTATTTTGAAAAGGTAGTTGATATTAAAGAGATGAGCAAGCAGTTAGTTGGTTGTGTAGTTCTTGAATTGTTTAAGTAGAAAGATTAAGTAGTACTTCTGTAAAAAAGTTTTGAACTATTTGGAGAATTAAAAAATATATAGATTAATTGTTAGAACAAAAAAGCTAGTATTGAGAGTTTTCTTGTTCATTACAAGAAATACAATTATTGTATTTAAAGATATTTAGGTAGAGTTGATAAAGGTATGATAATATTAGAAGTTCATTTAGTAGATTTTTAATTTGAAAAGATTTTGGTAACTTAGTTGGAGAGTGGTAAAGTTATATGATCTTTTTTGGTTATTGTTAAGAAAAGGCCATGTTGTGTTCCAGTTAATATATTGGAATATGTATAAGATATTTTGTCTATACTTTTGAGAAGACTACAAGACTATAATATATGAGTTACAGATATTTTTAACTAGTTTCTGTACTAGTTGTTTAACAGAAAAGTTTTCAAACTATAATATATAATAAGGATTGTAGAGATTAGTATAGTTAAATTGTAAAAGAGGTGATAGTGAATAATATTTAGTTAGATAACTAGTATTGTTATTATATAAGTTATCACTATGTGCTTGCATTTTATAGAATTCAATGCTAAAATTAAAATATTTAATAAAGTTAAGTAAAGTGATTCAAAAGAGCCAATATTGTAATGAAGGAAATTTGAATACAATAAGTAGTTTTTTATAAGTTTGTTATATTTAAGGATAACAGATAAAGAGTCTATGTAGATTTGAATTTGGTTATTACTAGGACAAGTGCTTATAGCTAATAGAATTAAAACTAATTCAGCTTTATAAGAAGAAGACCAAAGTTGGATTTGTGCAGAAAATTAGTTATTGCAAACTTGAACCTATCTAATGCCTATAGAGTATTAGTCAGTGAAAATATCAATAACTGATCCATCAGTATAGAAAACAAATTGGTATTAGTTGTAGTTTGTTTAATAAATTGCTTTGAGTTGTTAAGTAGCTTCATTGGAGTTAAAAATTGTAGTAATTAAAAATAAAGTTATTTGTAAAGTTAAAAATAAAGGAATAGTAGAAAGGTTTCGAAGTACAATAGAATATAAAAGGTCTAGATAGTTTGTATTGAGTTTAAGTTTGTTGGAAGATATTCTAAAATTATAAATTTAATAGAAACTTATATATATTTATATTTTTAATTCTAAATATAAATAAATTTTATTTATTAGCTTATAAAATTTAAGAATAATTAACAAAAGAAATTTAAAATTTTTTGATAAAACTTTTTTAAACTTATTTATAAAAAAGAAAAAAACTAACTGTACACGGGGTGTTTGAAACACGGGTTTAATTTTTTATAATAATTTTTTATAAAAAAAACATTTTTTATATACTTTAGGGTTAGGGCGAAGCCTGAGATTTTAGCAAAAGCATTAGTATATGTAAAATTTAGCAAGGAATTTTTTTAATTAGAGCCCTAAAAGTGGTTTCATAGTCGAAATTTTGAGATAGTAGCATTTGTTCGAAAAATTCTTTGTTTTCGTTGTACAAAGAAAGATTTGCATGTTACACCTGATCTTAAATTTTGATTGGCTTTTCGATACTTTTGTATTACCTTGTGTACAAACACCCTATGTACGAATAGTAATTCTCTATAAAAAATATAAGTATTATAAAAAAATTTAAAATTTGTAAATATTACATATAAGACCAATTTTATAATAGCTAAAACTAATATATAGAATAGGATTTAGACTCTTGTATAACTATAAAAACTAAATATATAACAAGTGACTCTACAAAAATAATTCTTTATTCTTTAGCTTCTAATAATTTTTCTTACTAATAATTTATTTTTACTAACTTATAATAAAACCTTTAACTCTTTTACAAAATCTCTTCTTCTTATAATTATTTAAAATTTTAATTAACAAATATTAAACTAAATTTTATAAATTCTAATATAAATAATTCTCTTTACCAAATTTTATACTTTTAATATTAGAAAAATTCTACAAATTTTACAACTTACTAATTTAAACAATACTTAAAATATGATATATGAATTCTAATATTCTATTATAACAAAACTATACTTCTAACTATACAATTTACAAAAACTTATCTACTTCTTATTCAAATAATAAAATATAAACTCAATTACTAAAAATTTATTTATTCAATACTAATAATCACTTGAAAATTATAAGTAACTAAGCTTAATTAATTATATTACAGAAAATTAAATTAATATATTTAATATTTCTAAAACTTATTTTAACTTTAAAAAAACAAAATTTTTAATACTATCTAAAAATCTTACTAACTACTAAAAATTCTAAATACTTTGCAACTATAAGCAAGATAGTATAGAAATTATAATATATAAAATACTAGTAAAAT